TGCAGCAACTATCGAGTATACTTACATGGCGCAACAATACATAGCACTCACGTGATACAGCACTACACATCACTCACGTGATGCAGCACTATCGAGTATACTTACATGGCGCAACAATACATAGCATTCACGTGATACAGCACTACACAGCATTCACGTAATGCAGCACCACATAGCATTCACGTGATTCCAAAGTTTGATACATTTAGATATCCATGGAGTGAAAATCCGGATGAATCGGAATCGCTAATGAAGACACGTGCACCGGCATGGTGTGATCGTGTGCTAATGAATTCACGAGCCTTAGAAATGGTTAAACGTGATAAATTTGCCAAATATGATAGTTTTGGGAAAGATGTATGCATGGGTGATCATAAGGTTAATCAAATTTTCACTTTTTTTTCCTTTTAAATTTAAATTTAATTAATTTAAACTATTCGATTTTTATTATAATTTATGAAGTAATATGTAATAATTTTAACAAATTTTTCTCTTCTTGTAAACAACAAAATTTAAAATTTTTATTTGTAAAAGTTTCGTATGAAGTTAAAAATTTTTTCGATAAAAATTATCAATATTACAATTAGTATTGCAGCCAGTGATGTTATCATTCAATGTGATTCTATGAACAAAATTATCAACGATCATTGTGGATCATGATATTTTTATGTATTCTTCATTCTGATATTTGAATAGCATGGATTATTTTTGCATAAACAACTAACTAATTATACTAGGATTATCACTTCATTATAAAAAAAAAATTAAAAAAAAATTTTTTTTCTCGGTTATTATAAACTAGCATAAAATTGAGTGAGAATTTCAGAGTTTCTTTTTTCCCTTTTTTTTTATTTTTATTTTCATGATTTAAATTTTAAACGTTTCCAAATTTATTTATTCATATAAATATTATTTAAGAGTTGTATTAGTTGCTATCCCTTTTTCTTTTTTTTTCTCGTGATATGTGACAATTACAAGTTATCAATGAAATGAACAAAAAATATCCTGATTTTATTTTATTTTTTCCTTCACTTCTGATTGTCAAATCTTCTACGTTGCTTGCTTGTTTGTTTTCGATCCGTAAAGCAGCATTTAGCGGTAATTATTACCGGAGGCAAACCGGTTTTCAATCATATAAGCTCTTTGCTGATATTAGTTAATAGTACTAATAGTATGGTGTTTTTTTTCCCCTCGAAATTTTTGATCATATATTGATATAATTCATTTGTGATATTTCATAGGTTTTATTCTTTCTTCACTCTTCCTTCTTTCTCCTCCAAATTAATTCCTTTTTTAATACTTCATCATTTCGATTTTGTATTAATAATTTATTATTATTATTATTATTATTATTATTATTATTATTATTATTATTATTATTATTATTATTATTATTATTATTATTATTATTAATTATTATCATTGCTAATTATCATTATTATTATTATTGCCATAATTATTACTACTGTTTATATTTATATGTATTTCGGGTAGTAACAAATGTATAATTATTTGATACTCATATCAAATATCATTTGTTTTGGCAAATGTTGGCAGTAATTTGTTTTTTTTTCTTTTTTTTTTGTTTTGTAGGGTTCATTAATGAAAATTGAAATAAAATAATT